ATTTGAGATGAAAGGCGAAGCTGAGTCGAATTCTCCCCATAAATTCGGTCAATTCCAAAATTCCAATTCGATAGTTACCGCAAAGAAAAGAAAAAACTCCCGTATTTAATTTCAGAGGATAACCACAAATAAAACAAGAAAATCAAAGTATTAATCACTTCGCTTTTATTTACTGTAAATAGAGAGAATTTTTCTTTACAAAGAAAGGATTCGCAAAAAACTTTTAGTAAAAGAACAAAACGGTATTATTCGTCACGGTGGCACGCGTCTATCGCGGTAATCTCATAAGAGAATAAGTGATTTTGCCATGGATGAGACCCCCTGAGGTGCGCACGTACGTACGTCAAAGAGAGGCCCGCCGCAGGGGCGTCGCGTGTTCGCGGGAGGTCTCGTCTCAACTCAGGTGCGTACCAAGGTCGGGGCGCCGTGCAAAAAATTTCTTTCTTTCCATTTCGCAAGAGTAAGAATATTAAAACTTTTTAACTTCAATGTTTAATTTAATAGATAATCTATTTTTATAGATTATTGATAACAACTTGACTATCGTACCAATTTGTGATATAGGCTTAGCAAAAACTTTTTTGTGGTGTCAAAAGAAGAGAACTAAATGTAGAAGAAATGTGGCAAAGACAAAATAAGTTTACAGAAATTGTTCATTAAGATGATATGTGAAAATGTGTAAAGTACTTTGGTGTTTGTGTCACGCGTTTGTGTTTTGTGCCCCTATGACGCAAAACGACGCGTGAGTCAGAGTTGGACTATGAAGGAAATTTTGCAATTACAAAGCGTACTTGCAACAGAAATTCAGTTTTTTACTTAAAGAGGTGTTAAAAAACTCCATTTTTATTAGAAAGAGAGAAAAAAAATGTTTGATAACCTTTTTTCATTTTTTCAATTTTTTAATTTTGGATTTCCTTCATGAGGAATAAATTATCTAAAGTTATATGGAAATGCATAATATGGGATTTTATTTTAATTTCATGGTTCCTTTCCTCATTCCCAAGTGTCATTATATCATTTGAAGGTTATTTTTAATCATTTACCTAAATATTTCATTGATTTTCTACAGTGTCCCAACTCTGGCAACCATGATCAACTCTAGCAACATTTTTTTAAAATTGCTTATAATTCTGAAACATTTGGTCCGATTTTTTTTTTACAATGTTCAGCAAAAACATTGCATTTAAGTTGATCTATCCAAAAATATTCGCAAAATCGCGAAATTCGTTCTACTGGGGTAATTATGAAGAAAAGTCAAAACTATGCCCAACTCTAACAACTCTCCCCTATCATATACAATTTTGAAAACTACAACACACATTCTTAAATTTAATACAAATTTTCTTATTAAATTTTAAAACACATTTCTTTAAAATTTTCAAACTATTTTTTTGAAAATTAATAAAGTATTTGAATGAAATTTCAAATAATTTTGTTTGAAATACCCTAATGATTTAAATATTTAAATAAAAAATCAAAACTGTTTATATTGTGTTTTCATATGTTATAATAAATATAAATTAATTAAAAAAAAAGTTTCATTAGCATTTTTACGGAAATGCGACACCACGATTTGAACCCTTAGTCGTATATAGTGTTGTCCGTGTATAGTGTATCTTGTGTGGAGCCATCAACCTTGGGAGCTGCGCCTAGACGCGCTCGACCAAGGGAGGCTATGAAAATCTCATGCAAAGTATAAGTAGTAAGAAACATGTGGACCATACCATTTTTTTGACTTCGTCTAAATTTCTAAAGATTCAATATCTTTAAAATTCTTTACCAACCGATTCATAGTAATCTTTACTTTTTTTCTCTTCACGTTTCTGTTAAATTTATGATATGTAATAACTGTCCTCTTAAATCTTTCGATTTCACGTTCTTTGACTCGATTTGGCATTTTAATCAAAAAGACTGATTGATTTAATGTGTAAAAATGCTGATAACGAACAGGAAATATAAAACTTTGTTAAAATGTAAGTAAATAAAATTTGACAGCAGACTGTGTACTGATTGTCTATTACCATATGATTTAGGGTATTTTCTAGATAAGCGCTGTGACTTATACTCACAGCGCCCCTAGTGCGAACGTCGAAAGCTCCTTAAATCATGTGGTAATAAATCAACAGTACACACTCAAGTCGAGTCAATGAAAGATTCAAGAGGACAGTATTGACGGTGAAAAAGCAGGATTGGCAGAATATCCCCAATACGGTTTTTTACGCGAAAACGTATTGGTAGAAACTCACCGCCAATACTATTCGCTCTCTTCCAATACTTTTTTTTACTGTGAAGTTAAGATGTTTGAGAAATATTTAAGGAATACTTTATACATAGAAAATTTTTTGTGAAAAATATTTTTCTATTTAATTTAGCAGTTTTTAAATTGTAATAAGTAAAATGAAACTAATTGTAGTATCAAAATTTGTAAAGTAAACCGTCATTTTTGGATAGGTGAGTATTTTCTATGATTTTAACTTTTTTCTACTCTATACGATAAAACAAAAATACTAGTTGAACAGTTTTGCAAAATTTTAATTTTTACAATAGTTATTGTTAATAACATTTTTTTGTATGAATTTCGAAATTATTAATTATCTATCGTTCTATAAAAGGAATCTATTTGAATTTTGGAATGGATAATAAGGAATAATACTAATTTTGACTAATATTTGTCATTATATAAAATTTTTAAAATTGTGAAAATTATAAACAATTTATTTAAACAATTAAAAATATTTTCATGTTCTTCCAACATTTTAAAAAACTTTTGTATTGCATATTACTCCTTATTTAATCACGAATAATTAAAAAAAAAGTGAGTATTCTTAATTAGGTAAAAAGTTATTCAGGTTTTTCTCTGAGCGCGAGGGTGGGGACCACAGGGGACCAAACCTTGCAACAAGTAGATAGGGTTCAGCAACACTTGGGTAACCTTGTCCTTGAGGGCAAGAGACCAAGTGGGGTTGCACAATGAGGAAGAGAAGGCGTCGGGGGCCGGGCCGGGAAAAAGACGGCAGGACTCGGATGAGGCTTCCCCTAACACTAGAATGCCGTCAAAAAAGATAAGGGACCCACAAGGGGGAACCTTATCGTTTGCGGAGATCACTAGATCGTCATTAGCCGGGGCGATCGTAGCGGAAGGCTATCCGAGGGTCCAGATGACGTTGGCTAATCTGGACCAATTAAGGGTAGCAATTCATGATGAGATTGGGGGGGACGAAGTTGGACCCTATCCTCATTTCAGAGAGGTTCGCCTCACTAGGGGAGCGATCTTAGTAGAGTGCCTGGACTCAGAATCTAGGGAATAGCTAAATAGCCGTATACCTAGGTTCAGTCAGTCGTTAGGGGGTCCTCTCATCAAGGTGGTTGATCCGGCTGAGCTGATCAAGCTGGTAAGGATTGTGGCTTAGGTACCCGGTCCTAGGGTGAACCAGGCTTCAATACTTAAAAACCTCGGTAGACAAAATACCGGGGTGGATACATCGGCGTGGAGGGTGTATTCGGGAGGCGAGGGGAGAGCAGACCAAGCTGCGGCTGTGGGCTGGACTCTCGTGCTTTCAGTACTAGAGAGCGACATTGAAGATCTCCAAGTCCGGCAGTTGAAACTGTGTTTTGGGCTAGGTCAAATCACTCTAAGAGTAGGGTGGCAAGGTACTGACACATCTGCTGGGCAGGGTACCCAGGGGGGGGAAGCGACTGAGGAGATCGTAAATCAGCCTTAAAAAAATGGCTGCTTCCGGGATTCATTGTACGCAGATTAATTTGCATCATTGTAAGTGCGCTTCGGCGATTTTAGCCAAGAGCTTGACAAAGATGCAGACAGCTTTAGCCTTTATTCAAGAACCTTGGGTTTTCAAGGGAAGAATTACAGGTCTGAACGGCTGTGGCGAGATGGTTAGTTTACCACAGGAACCAGTTCCAAGGGCGTGTCTGATCTATAAAGGTCTAGACGCTTTCCCTCTTTTGGAATTAACTACTAGGGACTTAGCTGTAGTTAAAGCTAAGTATCTGGAAAAGAACAGAAATAAAAGGGAGGTGGTAATAGCGTCCGCTTACTTTCCGGGAACAGGGGATGAACCTGCACCACCAAGAGAGGTGGAGAGGTTGGTAGATTACTGCCAAAGGAGAGGGCTTCCTTTGATAATAGGGTTACCTCTAGCAAAGCTATCTGTAGGATAGCCAGGATGCGAGGTGTGCCCGAGCCGCTAGTTAAGTGGATCGACAGCATGCTTCGCGAAAGGGCCCTGGAAGCGGAGTATGGTGAGGCTAAAGTAACAGATCTTGTCTCAAAAGGGTGCCCACAGGGAGGAGTCCTCTCTCCTTTATTGTGGTGCTTAGTAGCAGATGAGTTAATTAGAAACCTCAATAGCCAGGGATATTATACGCAAAGTTCTGCGGATGATTTACTTATAATTATAAGAGGGCACGCAATTGAGACCCTCTTAGAACTTACGGAACGTGCACTTAAGATTGTCAAGGATTGGTGCAATCTGACTGGACTTTGCGTAAACCCAGAGTAAACGAATATAGTAGTTTTCACAAGATAATATAAAGTACCGAGTTTGAAGAAACCGATATTTTATGGAAAAGAAATTTCCTTTTCTGAATCGGCTAAGTATTTGGGAGTAATCCTGGATAAAAAGCTGATTTGGAAGTCATCATGGGGACTAAGGCCTAATATGGTCAACTGGCTCTATCAGATGATCTTAAAACCAAGGTTTCTTCACGCGGTGGTTGTCTGGTGGTCTAGGACTCAACTGATAACGGTTAAAGAGAAACTGGACCAACTGCAGGCAATGATTTTCAGGGGTATTACGGGGGCAATGAGGACCACGCCAACAGCTGCGTTGGGATTCATGCTAGCCGAGGTACCTCTGCATATTGCCGCGGTGAAGAAGGCGGCTCTTGCTATGAGCAGGTTAACTGCGCAGGGAAGATGGAGGTCTGGTGGTTTAAACACCAAGCTTCCACGCTCAATTCTATCAATCCCATAATTAAGTATGGTGCAAGATAAAATGATCAAGAGGGTGAAATTTAAACCCCGCTTTAAGATCATGACACCTTCCAGAATGGACTGGAAGAAGGGTTTGTCACTTGGGGACGAAGTCTGGTATACAGACGGCTCCAAGATGGACTGCGGTGCAGGCTTCGGAATTTATCGAAAAACTGGCTGCATTAAAGTGGCTGAGTCATTAGGACAACATGCCACGGTCTGGCAGACAGAGGTCTGTGCGATTTTAACTTGCGCCCAAATATCCATTCGAAATGGAACAAAGGGCAAGAGGATTAGTATTTGTGTGGATAGTCAAGCAGCCTTAGGGGCTCTGAAAAATTCCACAATAGAATCAAAACTCGTCTGGGAATGCCGCAGCGTACTAGATGAGTTGGGTTCAGCAAATAAACTTTCATTGATTTGGGTACCGGGTCACTCGGGAATCAAGGGTAATGAAAGAGTAGACGTCTTGGCGAAAACCGGTTCCGGGACGAATTTTATAGGTCCTGAACCAGCAGTGGCAATAATGCCGTGCTTGGTTAAGGGAGCCATAGAAAGATGGGGTCAAAAGGAACATGAGAAGTATTGGGCGAACGTTGGGGTGGGAAGGCAAGCAAAAACTCTGTTGGGGCTAGCACTCAATAAGAGGCGATCAAGCGATCTCCTAAAACTCGATATGATCAGAGTTAGAACCGTAGTTCGTCTACTTACAGGTCATGGACTATTAAACTACCATCAGTATAAAATAGGCAGACGAGTTTCACCTATGTGCAGACTGTGTGGGGCAAGTAACGAAACTTCGACTTACATATTATCTGAATGCCCAGCGTTAGCTAGGATCAGGCTATCTAGCTGGGGTCAAGCAATCATTGACCCTAAGCAGGTGAGCAACCTATCGATAGAAGAGATACTGGACTTCTGGAGAAGAACATGACTCTAAGGGGTTGCTATAAACGAGCGAGCTGGAGTCTGGTACAATGGGTTATATAACCTAGGTGCTTACTTTCCCCTCTTGAGGAAAATCCAGCTCGATCTTGGTGTCAGATTTGATTAGATTAGAGTATTGTTAATAACATTTTTTGTATGAATTTCGAAATTATTAATTATCTATCGTTCTATAAAAGGAATCTATTTGAATTTTGGAATGGATAATAAGGAATAATACTAATTTTGATTAATATTTGTCATTATATAAAATTTTAAAAATTGTGAAAATTATAAACAATTTATTTAAACAATTAAAAATATTTTCATGTTCTTCCAACATTTTAAAAAACTTTTCTATTGAATATTACTCCTTATTTAATCACGAATAATTAAAAAAAAGAAAAGTGAGTATTCTTAATTAGGTAAAAAGTTATTCAGGTTTTTCTCTGAGCGCGCCACGCGCCATACGTGACAGGCGTAAACGTCGTCCCGGGACGCAAAGTGGGATTTTTTTTTACAATTTACTGTTCAAAAATGTCTACAGAACGATTTGAGTGTTCTTTGACTTAAATTAAAGGGGAATAAATTCTTTAGACACCCCTCAAGGCCGATTTTCAAAATTTTAATTGTTTATAATTTTTTAGTTCCATTAAAGTTAACAAATTAATACAATTTTTTAAAAAAGGGCGTTTATTTTCTTATTCTGCTACTGCACATGATCTGAATTAGTTCAAATTAATCTAATAAGACCACCAGGCAATTAATAAAACGTAAAATAATTTATTTAAATTGTTGTAAACAATATTAATTAACAAATAGATAACTTTGATTCCTCTTCACCAAAAAAAGTTTTTTTCACTCAAATCGTTCAAAAATTGTAGGCTGTAGACATTTTTGAACAGTAAATTGTAAAAAAAATCCCACTGTGCGTCCCGGGACGACGTTTACGCCTGTCACGTATGGCGCGTGGCGCGCTCAGGGAAAAACCTGAATAACTTTTTACCTTAATAATACCCACTTTTCTTTTTTTTAATTATTCGTGATTAAGTAAGGAATAATATTCAATAAAAAAGTTTTTTAAAATGTTGGAAGAACATGAAAATATTTTTAATTGTTTAAGTAAATTGTTTATAATTTTCACAATTTTAAAAATTTTATATAATGACAAATATTAATCAAAATTAGTATTATTCTTTATTATCTATCCCAAAATTCAAATAGATTCCTTTTATAGAACGATAGATAATTAATAATTTCGAAATTCATACAAAAAAATGTTATTAACAATAACTATTGTAAAAATTAAAATTTTGCAAAACTGTTCAACTTGTATTTTTGTTTTTTCGTATAGAGTAGAAAAAAGTTAAAATTATAGAAAATACTCACCTATCCAAAAATGACGGCTCACTTTACAAATTTTGACTCTATAATTGGCTGATTCTACGAAAAAATCGAAATTGATGTCCTTAATGATTTCTGTAAATCAGGATCGTCAATTACGAAAAGTTATTTTTTTAATAAAACTACTGTACTAGATGTTCGAATTTATGGAACAAATTTATTTTTTATATGATTATCAAAAAAGATATGTCCAAGAAATTACCCTGAAAATCATTCCCTCACTATGTCCCAATTGCTAAATTTGAAGAGAATTATTAACTCAAAACGTAGAATTCCTTACAAATTGTTGGTTATCTTATTTTTTACTTATATAAGATAGTATTGACTGTAACTACATAAGTTTGTAATTTTAAAAAAGCCAATGGAAATATTTTTAATTATACTTCAAAATTTGTCCTTGAAAAACTTATCATTCCCTCACCGTTTTAAAACAGTGTGATTGGACCAAATTTTGAAGACCTACGAAGCCCTGCTTTAATTTTTTTCAAAGTTGTCAACATTGTGATTGACAACATACACTAGAGTGAATGGTTGTAGAAAGGATTTTTGTTAAAACTAATTTGTCAATAAGTTTGTTAAATGTTACATTTTTTAACGTCATTCCCTCATTTGCGTTCTATAACGCTAAGCACTTTTTTATTTAATAATCATAGTATCTTTGCATGTGGTTCAAGTAGTAATATCGTACTTTTCTTCGTACATAAGAAAGTAAGGTTATGTTTTTGAGATTATGGTCATTTTGTTTCGTTTCGTCATTCCCTCATCATCATTTCCTCATTATATTTTTTGATGAGGGAATGATCCTTGTGAGGGAATGATGTATTTCTTAATAAGTGCACTGAAAAAATATATTTATGGTACTGCCATAAATATAGCCAATTCTCACATATTATATTGGTGGATATAGGACTGCCGTACAGTATTGCTGTTTCAGTTATATGCAGTGTAGAACAGCCATTTGTATGTGAAGAACACGAATACTGTATTTTAAGAACAGAAATACAGTATTGCTGTTTCAGCTATACGTTTTTAAACACTTTTTTACAAAATTTACAAATTTACATATTTTTTAAACCTATGTATTTGAAGTTATTCTATACAAAATTTTTTGAAAATTTCAAACACTTTTGTTTGAAAAATTTGTAAATTTACAATATTTCTCAAACATGAGGCATTATTTCTCAAACGTCCCAGCCCAAAAAAAAGTCTTGGGATTGGCTTCATATTTTGGGAAATTGTTATCCTATATGAAAGTAATAAATTTGCAAAATATTAGTTCTTTTAAAAAAAATTCTAGAAAGTAGTGAGGGTTGAAGTTTTGAAATTTTCATTAACACTGTGATTTTCAAAAGCATATAACTTTTATAATACTTTATCGATTTTAATGTTTCTATAATGCATTTAAAGTATTTTTCATGTACTTTCTAAAAATTTTACAAAAAAATTTTTAAAAAAACTTTTAACCCTCTTTTTTTAAAAAATAAAGTTTATTTTTTAATTTTGACCCAAATGGGTATTTTAAAAAAAAAAATTTTTTATTTTTATTGACAAAGCTGACATTTTTTCCAAAAAAAACATATATGTTTCATAGTGGGATGGCCATAAGTTCAGAAGATATTTAAAAACAAACTAAGCGGCGCGCCCGCGTCACTGTACGTTGCGTTACGCTGTCGCTGCGCCGTTGAACGACACAAATATTGCTGTTTCCTCTTCATCTGCTTCAGTAAAAGCTCTCTGCATTCTACAGGGTTGAGACTGTCATAAAAATAATGCCTGCATTACTGTTACTAAAAAAATTTTAAATAATTAATTTTGAAAACAGAAGGGTAAAGCTTAAAAAATTTTTGACTGAACAATTTTGAATAAATAATAAAATTATAATTACAAAGAAAATTATTTTTAATAAATATATTAATTTTGAAAAAGAAAGCTTAATGCTTAAAAATCAAATATTTTTCTGATTCAATCGAAATAAAGATTTATATGTATATGTAATTTTGAAAAGCCTGCGTTAGTATTATTGTTAACTTGGGTTTAAAGTTAAAAGAGTTTTTTTAAATTTAATTGACGAGATAGTACATAATTTTTTTTATTTTTTACTCGGTTCTTGTTGTTGAGAAACTCGTGGTGTAATTTTTTTACTCTTTTTAGGAAAATTATCAAATCCCTTGTATAGTTTGAGCATTATCAAATTTGTTCTTTAATATTTTTTGCTGTCTCAACGCAGATGTCTTTGCCACTGTAAAATGTTTGGGTTTCTTTACAATATTTTTGCGTCTAGTCAAAAAGAACTTTTGTAGTCAAAATTCGATTATTTGGAGAATATTGAAGACTATGGAATTTTTGAATTTGATAATTTTCCTAAAAAAAGTAAAAAGAATTACTCCAGGAGTTTCTAAAAAACCGAGTAAAAAATAAAAAAAATGGTTTATTATCTCGTAAATTAAATTTATAATTATAATTTTATTATTTATTCAAAATTGTTCAGTCAAAAATTTTTTAAGCTTTACCCTTCTGTTTTCAAAATTAATTATTTAAAATTTTTTTAAAGGCATTATTTTTATGACAGTCTCAACCCTGTAGAATGCAGAGAGCTTTTACTGAAGCAGATGAAGAGGAAACAGTAATATTTGTGTCGTTCAACGGCGCAGCGACAGTGTAACGTACAGTGACGCGGGCGCGCCGCTTAGTTTGTTTTTAAATATCTTCTAAACTTATGGCCATCCCACTATAAAACATATATGTTTTTTTTTGGAAAAAATGTCAGCTTTTCAATAAAAATTTAAAAAATTTTTTTTAAAATACCCATGTGGGTCAAAATTAAAAAATAAACTTTATTTTTTAAAAAAGGAAAGTTGAAAGTTTTTTTAAAAATTTTTTTGTAAAATTTTTAGAAAGTACATGAAAAATGATTTAACCACTTGAGCGGCAGTGCGTCAGAATTGGCGTCAGCGTGCAAGTGACAGAAGCGGCAAAAATGCGTAAAAGGCGTCAAAATTTGACTACTATTTTCTCATTCTGTAAGGAGATTTATAATATCACAACAAAGTATTTTTCTTTTTTAAAGTAAATGAGCAGATCTTTAAACAAAAAAATGCTTTTTTAAATATTTCGATTTCGTGAAGAAAAATTGGACTTTTTGTGGTAGAAATTGAAACGCCACTAATATCAAATTTTTAAATATTGTTAGCTTTGATCCTTGAAAACTTATTTAAATATTTTAAAAAACATTTTTTTTGCTTACAGGTCTGTTCTTTCACTTTAAGAAAGAAAAATACTTTGTTTGATATTATATAATACATTGTTGTGATATTATAAATCTCCTTACAGAATGAGAAAATAGTAGTCAAATTTTGACGCCTTTTTCGCATTTTTGCCGCTTCTGTCACTTGCACGCTGACGCCAATTCTGACGCCCTGCCGCTCAAGTGGTTAAATGCATTATAGAAACATTAAAATCGGTAAAGTATTATAAAAGTTATATGGTTTTGAAAATCACAGTGTTACTGAAAATGTCAAAACTTCAACCCCCTCTACTTTCTAGAATTTTTTTAAAAGAACTAATATTTTGCAAATTTATTACTTTCATATAGGATAACAATTTCCC